AATCTGATGCAAGCGCAGTTTATGAGTTTCGTCTCTAGTGACCTCTTTGTTCGCCTGCCAGCTGGCACCGTGCTGAATTGCTGCGAAACGACAATCTGTTAGTTGACTCCGAAGAGGCAGTTTTTGAGGCCATTTCAAGCTGAGTAGATGCTGGCGATAAAGAGTGCGATAATGAGAGGCTGAGATTGCACGCTGCGGAGATGTTGAGGGAGATTCGTTGGTGTCAGACGAATGTCCAATTCCGCAGTCGCCTAGTAGATAGTCATCCAATGTTCCAGGATGGCACCAGCTGTGCGTAAGTATATGCTGTTTCAGTTCGTCATTTATTTTCTAATGAAATTCGTTTTATGCCTCAGGTGGAGCATTGGATGCTCTACGCAGGCAAGGAATGGCCATTCCAGTCTCCCTTATCTTTGTCGGTAATAACATACTGCCTATAGCATGCGCCGCTCTGCGGCTGCTGGTCGGGCTCGAGAGAGAGAGAGAGAGCCCGTAAGGCACGACGGAACGAGTGAGTTCCATAAGAACGATCGGTGTGCGCCCCCTACAACAAAATAATATATTTAAGATTACGCCTATCAGTTATATTGAAATTTATTGGTTACCGTTTGACATGGCAACATGTGACGTTTTGTAAATTTTTGTTCCTAAGACGTCCTTATCGGCGACGCCAGGCAAAATCTAGTTTCTCTTGTTGAACCGCATCTCAATGAGCCCAAGTAAGTCAAAAATACCGCGAAATCTCCGCAAACTGTTTTGGAATCTATACTCTGACTGAAGGCTGTTGACAAATTGTCATACATGAGGTTACCCTTATTTTTACACGATACCTGAGTCAGTTCAGTCAGTTTAAGTCAGTTTACTAAGGTAATGAGGCTTTCGCCCTTGAGCTCCTAATTCATATCGATAAACAGAAATGTCATCAATTACATTAGCAAATGCGGAAAGTTAAAAAATTAGCGCTAAGTGTGAGCCAGGCGCAAACTGCCGCCGCTAAAACAATCGTGATTATATGTAGTTTCTCAACAAATGAGCATCTAGTCTACGCTTAAAGGATTCGACATTTTCGGAAAGAACCACCGCATCGGGGAGTCCGTTACATGCCCCAATGACCCTGTAAGAGAAGGCGTTCCGTCGGACGTCCCAATGAGCCAGCTTCCTCTCCAGTTTGAAGGGATGACCACGCAGGCGGTCAGTCCCGGCCAATTCAAAGAATTTATCAACTCACTCACGGCCTCTGACAATCCTGTAGGTTTGAATGAGATCGCCGCGCAGTTGCCTGTAATTTAGAGGAAACAGATTTAGTTCGGTCAGTCTGGCTTCGTAAGGGAAATGATGAAGATTCTTGACCATCTTCGCAGCCATCACCTGTACCCTTTCCAGTCGTTGATAATCTTTCTTCAACCACGGTCGCCAGGCCTGGACTGCGTACTCTAAGTGAGACCGGAGGAATGCCCCATAGGTTTTTCCGAACAGTTCCTTGTTGATCTGCACAAATGCTCGCCTCAGCGCAAATAACATCCTTATCGCACTTTTGGCTGCCCTTTGACACTGTGATGATGGTTTCATCGAGGGGGCCATTAGGACGCCCAGGTCTTTCTGTTC